TAGAAGATGTCCACTTAAGCGGTCATCAAGAGGAGCCGTTTTCCGCGATGGGCGGAGACACATGACGTTGGTTACCTTCCCCATTGGTGCGCCTTTCTGAGACGATACAGGTGCGACGTACCACTGAGTAATATATGATGGGCTGGTGTCTCCGCCCAACATTTGCTGATCGCGGAAAGAGCTCTCCCAGCTATGAATGTGAAGATGTGGACCCAGGGAAACTCCTCTGCCAAACTATTTAGCAACACACTGGACGCACCAACGAAAGATATTTAGAATGATGTACCTGTACCTTCATTTCAAAGTTCACGGGATTTTGTGAATTTTGAATTTTTTGTAATCGTCAAACTGAGTTTTGAGCATAGTTTGAATAGAATAGAATTTTGGTGTTTTCCACATTGCTACTACTTCGGAAATAAGCTCGAACAGAGGTCGTTCAATCGAGGACAAGTTACTTACTTCCTGGATGGACCTAATTACCATTTCACCCTCAGATTTCGCCCTCTAAAAATTAGTTGCACCATCACATCTCCAAGGCACTGACCTCATTTGGGCCCCCATATTTCCCAATATTCGGAAACTTTCGGATATTTTTCAACACCGGTACGACATACCCTCAATCGCTCAGTTGTTTTTAAGGTTGTAAACGAAAGATCAGCATGCAATATTTCGTGCTCCATAAAGAAACCAATTTTTAAAATTACGGAAATGAAAACAAAATAAGTTAGTAAACCTTACAGCCATATATGGTCGGCATCCAGCATCCTGAGTTTGAGCTACCGAATCCTGTAGATAACCACAAATACCGAAATCACATAGCTTCACTTCACCTTTTCTATTGAGTAAAATATTTGAAGGTTTCACGTCTGAAATAAAAATCTATTCAAAAAAAGTCTGCAAAATAGAAAACATCTAACGACACCCAAAATAGTCAGTGAGCTTTACGGTTCAAATATGTATTTGCAGATGTCAGTTGATCGACCACTACAGCAAAGTGTGGACCGAACCGTCGAAGCCACCCAAAACTAGGTCCTAGGATTGGACAAGCACTCGAAAAGGCGAGACACTGCTCCGTGAGCGAGAGATACCAGAGACAAAAGATGAGAGTATGATGAGGCGTTCGAGGACAAGGGAGATGACAAGACCGATTCCGCACAGAAAAACGCAACGCGTCACACCTGTGCTTATAGATACAGAATCACTAGCAGGCCTCACATCCACGTGGGAGGGACAACTTCTACGGGAGAAGTTTCTTCGGCATATGATGGCCCAGCGCCCTTGCCGCTCACGGTGGAGCAGCGAAAGTGGAACTCTCATCATGGACCAGAGCACTTGCACAACTAAGGCGGTGTTCAGACTTCGCGACGGCAGCGCATCGATCGCTCGAACGCGCGACCGAAGCGCTGCAGTCGCGAAGTCTGAATGCTGCCTGAGGGATTCTATCCATCAAGTAATCGCACAGTATGTCTTAAAACGACACTGAACAATATTCAAATAAAAAATCAAATTCAACGAAACCAAAAAACAATTACCGCGGTGAATAATGTGATATTGACTTTTCATATGATTCAAAGCAATGATGGTCTGAAATAAAGACTAGTAATTATGATAATCAGTACAGTCAAAACGGAATACAAATTTCTCAAAACTGAAAAATCCTCACATTGATAGCAACACTTCCTAACGTATTCTCATCAAAAGCAGGATAACCCAAGTCGTGTACAGCCATATAAAGTCGTTCTAATGAAATGTCCATTAGTTCCATACAAACTAGACCATCTCCCTAAAAATACTGTATACTGTGAAGCCATGAGTAAGCGATTTTTTGCTCCGCTACAAATTGGCAGCTATACAAGTAATACTTTCCTCACTCGGAAGCGCGTGGAAATAAGGAGGTGAAAGGCAGCGATATCGGGTGCCGTTTGACCGCGCAATGCAGCAAACACGCGGTCGAAGGCACTGAACAACAAGAAGTGAGAGGACGCAGACGAGTAGCGCGTTTGGCTATGGTTAAGAGCGCGGCAAGCCGAGCGGCTGCGCGAACGGGGTCAGAAACAGCGGACAGGTTCCACTACCCTGGACCTCCGTTTCCGTAGACT